AGGCTGGCCTCCAACTCACAGAGATCCACCTGCCTCTGCTGGGATTAAAGGCATGTGCCACCTCCACTAGACACAAAGACCATTTTTCTAACATTCTTATTTTTTGTGGTGCTAGGCATTGAACCAAAGGCCTCATGCACACTATACTGTACTATACTGCACTATACTGCGCTATACTGCGCTATACTGCACTATACTGTACCATACTGTACCATACTGTACCATACTGTGCCATGCTGTGCCATGCTGTGCCATGCTGCGCTATACTGCGCTATACTGCGCTATGCTGCGCTATGCTGCGCTATACTGCGCTGTACTGCGCTATACTGTACCATACTGTACTGTACTATACTGCACTATACTGACTATACTGTACTATACTGCGCTATACTGTACTGTACTGTGCTATACTGTACTATACTGTACTATACTGTACTGTACTGTACTATACTGTACTGTACTATACTGCGTTATACTGTGCTATACTGCACTGTACTATACTGTACTATACTGTACTATACTGTACTGCGCTATGCTGCGCTATGCTGCGCTATGCTGCACTATACTGTACTATACTGTACTGTACTATACCGCACTATACTGTACTGTACTGCACTGTACTATACTGTACTATACTGTACTATACTGTACTATGCTGTACTATACTGTACTATACTGTACTATACTGTACTATACTGCACTGTACTGTACTATACTGTACTATACTGTACTATGCTGTACTATACTGTACTATACTGTACTATACTGCACTATACTGTACTATACTGTACTATACTGCACTGTACTGTACTGCACTGTACTATACTGTACTATACTGTACTATACTGTACTATACTGTACTATACTGCACTGTACTGTACTATACTGTACTATACTGTACTATGCTGTACTATACTGTACTATACTGTACTATACTGTACTATACTGTACTATACTGTACTATACTGTACTGCGCTATGCTGCGCTATGCTGCGCTATGCTGCGCTATGCTGCACTATACTGTACTATACTGTACTGTACTATACCGCACTATACTGTACTGTACTGCACTGTACTATACTGTACTATACTGTACTATACTGTACTATACTGCACTGTACTGTACTATACTGTACTATACTGTACTATACTGTACTATGCTGTACTATACTGTACTATACTGTACTATACTGTACTATGCTGTACTATACTGTACTATACTGTACTATACTGTACTATACTGTACTATACTGTACTATACTGTACTATACTGTACTATACTGCACTATACTGTACTATACTGTACTATACTGTACTATACTGCCCTATACTGCACTGTACTATACTGTACTATACTGTACTATACTGTACTATGCTGTACTATACTGCACTGTACTGTACTATACTGTACTATACTGTACTATGCTGTACTATACTGTACTATACTGTACTATACTGTACTATACTGTACTATACTGTACTATACTGTACTATACTGTACTATACTGCACTATACTGTACTATACTGTACTATACTGTACTATACTGCCCTATACTGCACTGTACTATACTGTACTATACTGTACTATACTGTACTATGCTGTACTATACTGCACTGTACTGTACTATACTGTACTATACTGTACTATGCTGTACTATACTGTACTATACTGTACTATACTGTACTATACTGTACTATACTGTACTATACTGTACTATACTGTACTATACTGTACTATACTGTACTATACTGTACTATACTGTACTATACTGTACTATACTGCCCTATACTGCACTGTACTATACTGTACTATACTGTACTATACTGTACTATGCTGTACTATACTGCACTGTACTGTACTATACTGTACTATACTGTACTATACTGTACTATGCTGTACTATACTGTACTATACTGCACTATACTGTACTATACTGTACTATACTGTACTATACTGTACTATACTGTACTATACTGTACTATACTGTACTATACTGTACTATACTGTACTATACTGTACTATACTGCCCTATACTGTACTATACTGTACTATACTGTACTATACTGTACTATACTGCACTATACTGCGCTATACTGCGCTATACTGTGCTATACTGTGCTATACTGTGCTATACTGTGCTATACTGTACTATACTGTGCTATACTGTGCTATACTGTGCTATACTGTACTATACTGTACTATACTGCACTATACTGTACTATACTCTGCTATACTGTGCTATACTGCGCTATACTGTGCTATACTGTGCTATACTGTACTATACTGCACTATACTGTGCTATACTGCGCTATACTGTGCTATACTGTGCTATACTGTGCTATACTGTGCTATACTGTGCTATACTGTGCTATACTGTGCTATACTGTGCTATACTGTGCTATACTGCCCTATACTGCGCTATACTGTGCTATACTGTGCTATACTGTGCTATACTGTGCTATACTGTGCTATACTGTACTATACTGTGCTATACTGTGCTATACTGCCCTATACTGTGCTATACTGTGCTATACTGTGCTATACTGTACTATACTGTGCTATACTGCCCTATACTGTGCTATACTGTGCTATACTGTGCTATACTGTGCTATACTGTGCTATACTGTGCTATACTGCCCTATACTGTGCTATACTGTGCTATACTGTACTGTACTGTGCTATACTGTACTATACTGTAGAGTTGCACTCCTAGGCCCTCAGCACCATTTACTAAATACAAGACTACCTTTTCTCCCATTGAGTTAGTTACATTAATACTTCCATTAAAGTCATCTGACTATCTAGTTGTGGACCTCTTTCTAGATTCTTTGTTCTGTTCCACTGATCCGTATTTCTGCCCTGGTGACAATACAACCCTGTATTGATCGGTGTATCATTTTAAAGTCTTGTAACCTGTAACTGTTTGCATTTGTCATTCTGCATCCTTTGATTTTTTTTTCCATATACATTTTTAAAAGATGTATTTTATTTTTATTTGTGTGTATGCAGGCATGTGTGCAGGTGTCCTTAGAGCCACATACTCTGGAACTAGAGTTACAGATGTTTCTGAGCAGCTGAACAGGAGTACTGGGAACCAAACTCAGGTCGTGTGTGAGAGTAGCAAGCACTCCTAACCACCGAGCCATCTCTCCAGGCCCGCCATATACATTTCATTTGTGTGTGTATAGGACCATATGTGTATGCAGGAGTGTGCAGGTACCTGTTCACAAGTGTGAACACACACATGAAGGACAGAGGTAATCCTTGGGTACTGTTGCTCAGAAGCTTCCCCCTTCCTGTTTTTGAGGCAGCCTTTCAGCAGGTATGGAGTCTGCCTATTAGGCTGGCCTGGCTACATAAGTAGTCCCGGAGGTCTGCTGGTCTCTGCTTCTCCAGCACTGAGATTACAAATGCATACTACCATGCCTGCTTGGGGATTTAACTCAGATCCTCATGCTTGACCATGCAGCAAGCACTTTACAAACCGAGTTATCACCAGAGTCCTCCATACACATTTTAGAACCAACGTATCAGTTCCAGGAAGACTGGAGCTTGATAAAAAAAAAAAAAGTGAATAAATCTGTAGGTACAACACTACCAAATTCAAGACTAGAAGCCACAGTAACTAGGACAGAGTAGCATTTTATTTAAGAATATGCAGGTGGACACAGAGCTGAGTAGAATCAAGAAACAGGTACTAAAATACACTGTCAGTTGGTGGTATAACTTGATGTTAAAACAAATGCACATCAACAAATCATATTGTAACAATTTAACAAACATTAAAGGCATAGAAATACATACTAATACATACTTTGTTTTCTATTTGATGCCATGAACAAAAATTAATTTGTTGATCATAGACATAAGTATCCATGCTAAAACTAGAGACCTTTTTTTCTAGTGAGGAAAAAAATTCTTCACAACCTTCAGTTAAAAACAAATCAAGTCATAGATTTAATACTTATCAAAATACATGAAACGTAGTTTAAAAAACGAGCAACAAAAAAGTATCTGAGTTAAAACTGACAAAAGACTTGAAAAGACACTTTACAAAAGATAACATACAAATTATCAAGAGTGAGGGATGCTGAAGAATACTTAGGGTGGCATGAGAAGAAAAAGAAATAACGCATCCCAGGGTCTACTCTGTGTTTTCTGCTGGCTAAGATTAAGACGTCCTCAACACAGCTAAAATCAGGTGTGCAGAGACGCTATTTATTTTTCTTAGAAAAGCTTCAAGCAAGGCTGTTAAAAGCTGCAAATGCACCAGGATTGCTCAGGGCCAAAGCATAGGGCATCTGAATTCAGTGTTATCAATCTTGTCATTAAGTCTCAACAGGGCAGGACACTTCATAAACCCCCTTAAGTTTTACTTATAAAAGGAAATTCCTTAAGAGAAATAAGGAAATCTGCTCATATATTTTCTTAATTATTTTCAAATTTCACTTTATCTTTGAACATGGTTGCAAATTACATTCAATGAGCAATGTAACTTCACAAAATCATAGATCTGTAGAGAGAACAGTTACAGTTAGGACACTTAAGGTCCTCTCTCTCTCTCTCTCTCTCTCTCTCTCTCTCTCTCTCTCTCTCTCTCTCTCTCAGTGATCACTAAGCTAACTCTAGTATGGCATAGTCTGAGGAGAGAACCCTGAAACCACATTCAGGTCTAGCTCTTACCCCACCACTGATGAAGTCCTTTGGTAGGTCACTATCATTTACCTGGCAGGCCTGGAATTGTTCACCTTCATTCCTGCCAGACAGAGCACAACTCAGGAGTAGTATGGCCAAGGGTGGGGGCTGGAGCTCCAGGGCAGAACACTGTCAAGTCTCAGATCCCTGATGCACTTCACTGTGGCTCTCTCCAGGGCAAGGGATTCCGAATGGAATTTGAGGACAGGACATTGGGAAAGGGAAGGGAAGGGAAGGCAAAGGAAGGGAGAGGCTCGGAAAGAGGATGGGACGAAATGCAGCAGTCATCATGTCCGCATGGCATCACAGGGTCAGCAAACACAGTGGTAAGATGAGGAGGACCAGTGGGTAGAAACAAGCGGCCTGGTTCACCACTGCCGTTAGCCACTTGCTGTAGAAGGCAACGTCTGTATAGACTCCAGGGTATCCACGGCGGCCACAGCCGATGCCCCAGCTCACAACTCCCACCTGCACCCATTTGTTATTAAATTCACAGGACAGAGGGCCGCCAGAATCTCCCTGAGGAAAGAGAAAGAAACATGGCAAGAATGGAATTGACCCCCATTGGATGAAGACATGAGGAAGACAGGCTCATACAGGGTTTCCTCAGGCAACCCAAAAACCCAGCCAGAGCGGTACAGTGACATAAGATTATCGAATCCGCCCTAAGGAGGGCGAGGCAGGAGGCTTTCGAGGAATTCAAACTACATGCCAAGATACTGTCTCAGAAGAGAGGGTCAAAGCAGAGAAGGGGGCAGGGTGGGGTATGGGGACCCTTGCCAGGCCCAAGCTTCTACTAACAGGCAAAATACCAGAAGAGGGTATGTAAATATGGCCACTGAGAAGTTAGTGTGAAAATGATAGTGTCCCCTGGTATTATTGTCATTTCTTGAGCCTCAGTGGTGTTTACCACTGAATTCTACTTCTGAGGCACAGGAGAAATGACCACGCAGTTAAGAACACTTGCTGCTTTTGCTGAGGACCCTGGATTAGTTGAGAACACTCACATGGTGACCCACCATCACCTGTGGCTCCAGTTCCAGAGGACCTTACGCCCCCCTTTGGCATCTGTAGGCACTGCACGCATGTGGAATATACACATACATTCTAGCAAAACACCGGCACAATATAAACAAATCTTTTCAAAATCCGATTAAACATCACTTCCATGTAGTAGCTCCTGATTCCTCACATTTAACCTGAATTTCCTCTGAAGCTCTCAACCTATACCGAAAACCCTGCTACATTATAGAGTCATGCATATTCTTCTCCAAACCCGCTGCTACAGAGACCTATCAGTCAACCCGTGAGAAACACACAGGCTTCCACAGTGTCTCCTACCAACCACCTAACATGAACTGATAATTTGACCCCAGACACTTTCCTCACCAATTGGTTGCCCCAAACCCTGCTCAGAACTCAATGCCATTTCCTACAATCTGAAGACAGTAGTGTCAGAATTACACATCCAAGGGAGCCATTGATGCTGAAAGGGAAATACAGCCATGTTCACTAGGCCCCACTTCCCATGCCTGCCTGGGCCACTCTAGAAACTTGGCCACATTCAATACCTTATCCTAGTGCTCCAGGTATTTAAGACAATGTACCCCACCTCCAGTGCTGGGGATCAAACCTTCATCTCCAAACCCAGAAATGGATACAAGGCCTCACTACAACCAAGACTCACCTCAAACCCACACAGAAAGCTCAGACAATGTCATCTTCAGGAGCCATGTGGAGTGTGGCGCCATGAATTTTCTTGAGTAAAGGAGGTGGCAAATAACTTGGGCCTTGTCATGAGACTGAGGAAAGGGCCCATGAACTTGCCTGGCAAGCATCCTTTCCTTGTTCTTTGTAGCCACAGATCATTCCTCTCCTGACTAGGTCATTAGAAGATGATGTAGCCTTCTTCAGCATCGTATTACATTGGTCATAATGAATGATATTTTGGTCCACCTCCCGGAGAATTTCTGTTGGAACGTTTGGTGCTAATGAAGAAGATCAAAAGTATATAAATTTTCACAATGGATAGCAAGCACTCAAGCTTGTCCAGAATCCCCCTGGATAAAGGTGGGGGAAAGAGTATTGTCCCCATTTGACACAGGAGGAAACTGAGACTTAAAACTGCCACAGGGAGAGGACTGAGTAAGAGGCAAAACTGAGCCAGGCCTAATGGCACAAGTCAATAAGACCAAGGGAGGTCAAGGCAAGAGGCCCTCAAGTGTCAGGCCTGACTGAGCTACAGAATGAGTTCAAGGTCACCTTGGGCAATTTAGCTAGACTGTCTCAAAACAAAAAGCAGAAAGGGCAGTAGAGACAGATTAGTACTAGACCCTCCCTGCCATGTTTAAGGGCCTGCGTCCAATTCTCAGCACTTAAAAAAGGCAAGACTAAGGCAGGAGAAGGCTTCTAAAAGGGAAGCAAGGCCTTAGAGGTCTAAGGAATGAGAACCTGTTGAGCACGTTACTGAATGTCAGTAGTAACAGTGACAGTACCTTTTTCTGTATGTTATTTTTTGTTTGTATGTGGGTTCAACTGGGGTCATTATGTAACACCCTACCCAACCAATTTTCTTTACACTCTAGGAGGCAATCACAGACTCTCAGAGAGATAGAGCCCTAAGGGTCACATCCAACTTCTTCTCAGGCATAAGAGGCATATCAACAGGGGCCTCTGGCTCTCCTGATTCCTCTAGGCATAAGGCACTCCCTAACTACAAGATAGCTATTTCTGTTGAGAAGCTGACAGGCAGCTCGTTATCTCCTGATAGAAAATCCACCCAAGGTAGATTAACTGCTGAGCCATCTCTGAGATATCCCTGAGAGATAACCCAGCAGTTATTGTTATTTTGGGTTATCCCCCTCATCCACCCCGAAACAGGGTTTCTCTGTCCTGGCTGTCCTGGAACTCACTCTGTAGACAAGACTGGCCTCGAACTCACAGAAGTGCGCCTCTGCCTCCCAAATGCTGGAACTAAAGGCTTGTGCCACCATTCCCTGGCTAAGAGCATTTGTTCTTGCAGAAGACCAGAGTTCAGTCCTCAGCACCTACATGGAGGTTCACAACAACCCCCAACTCCAGTTCCAGGGGAACTGACACCGTCTGCTGATCTCTGTGGCACCTGGCAGGCTTTGCTGTACAAACACTCCTGCACATAAAATAAAGTAAATCTGGAAATCCATCCAGGAGAATTCCATCGAACCTAGCCTCTGTCCACAGGAATGCAGCAATACCCATAGTCACCCAGCACGTGTCCCCACAAAACTGCAAAAGGAGATTTGACACAATTCTAGTTCCCAGGAGAGATACATTTTTTTTTGGCTATCATCAGATACTTGTGTTGCATGAATGACCTCAACACAAGACAGGGATCACCTGAGCTCAGCAAACCGCCCATCGCCCCATGCCAAGTAGTCTGTCTCCCTTTTTTGCCCCTCCCGTTATCCTTTGTTACTACTTTCGGATTAAGGCCCTGCTTCCTCCTGAGCACCAACTCTTACCACCTGAGTCTGTTTTGCCCCATCCCGTCACCCAGCACTTGGTCCCAGTTGCCACAAAAAAAGCCTCTGGAGGGATGCAGATGGGGTAAATATTAGAGGTAAAATTCACGGGGTACTTCAGCTTGAGAAGGGCGATATCGTTTTTAACAATAATCGCTGATGAGAACTGGGGGTAGACGAAGATGCTCTTGATGGGAATCTCCAGGCTTGTGTTTTGGAGGTAGACACTCCGATCGCCCATCTTGACATTGTACTCGATCCGGCTGTGGGAAAGATGAGCTGCCTCAGTACCCTGGGACCCTGCACAGCTCTCTTACACACTTCCCAGTCCTTCTCTGTTTCCCAACATGGCCCCAACCTCTTTTGCCACTCTAGACAGTCTGTCACCCAAAGTCCTTCATGACCTCCCAGTTGTCTTGCCTGGGGTTTCTAGTAACAAGACGATCCTAGCATGGCACCCCCTCCCCTTTCTGTGAATCTTGTTTCGGGGATGTTGGCAGTTTATCAGAGAGGTAGATTAGGATAGTGGGGTCCCCTCCAGGACCTCTCTGCTTATCTCTCCTCACCTGTAAATGCAGTGGGCTGCAGTCAGCACCCACTGGGCACTGATGAGGGAGCCTCCGCAGATGTGCATGTGTCTGACCCGGATGCTCACCTGCCAGGGCCATTTCCTCTCTTGAGCCTGTACTCCTCCCATGATTTTCATTAAGGACTGGCCACACCCTGAATGAAGACAGTTTGGGAAGAACTCAGAAGAATTAAGCCCTCTGTTCATTCTAGCGGTTCCACATAAGGCACCAACAGCAAGAGGGAGGCTAGTGTGTCCTGTTGAACCCCAGGGCCCCTGCATCCCCTCAAAGCTGCAGGGTCACACACTCCCCTCAGAAGCCACAGGCAAGGCAACCAGACTCTACCCAACAGCTGCCTGGGCTTAACCCGTGTCTCTCGGATTCAGGGTGTCGCTAGCTTCCCTCTGGGCCTTGCCACAGTCCTCCCCTTGCCATAGACACCCCTTCACAAGTTACCTAAGGTAAACGGCTTGAAAGGAGAGGATTGGCCCTGGCGGGCCATCATGGTGGCCTGCGTCTGCGTGGGTGGCGGTGGGTTTACCCTTGGGGTCTCACTGTGCGATGAGAAGAAATCAGAAGTAGAGAATACAGCAGCCGCCCAGACTTCGCAGAGCTCTGACTGAAGCAGCAAGAGGCAGGCTATGAGGCCCTGGGAGCCACGTCCGGACGCCATGCCACCACGTAGGCCACCGCCCCTCTCCTGGTAAGTGGCACCCGCTCCCCAGGCTCGCGTGGCTGCCCTCGGTTCTGTCCGAGAAACGGAGAAACGGGCTCCTCGAAGGGAGGCGCCAGGGCATCGAAGGAGGGCCATGGCTTCCTGGGTGGGAAATGTGTTCTTGCTTACTCTCAAGTCTTCACACCACACTGGGCACGCCCAGGGTCCTGCCTGGGACAGAGGGGACAGACATCCTTGATGGAGATCTCCCACTTCAGGACCTGCTCTTCCTGAGGAGCTTGGTGTGGAATTGGTAAGGACGGGACTTTGGGAATGAGAGGGGGAGCCAAAAAGGCACCTCAAACCAAGACTCATTCACCAGACCTAGACTGGTAGCCTATTCTTCTGTCTCAGTCACAGTACAAGCTGAAACTAAATTAGCAATGTCCGGTCCTGGAGAGAGGGCTCAGTACCTAAGGGCACTCGATGCTCTTGCAGAGGCCCTGAATTCAAGTACCAGCATCCCCATGAAGATGCACACCGTTCTTAACTCCAGTTCCAGAGCATCTAGTGCTCTCTTCTGGCCTCCGTGGGTGCCAGACATGCACATGCATACATACATACATACATACATACATACATACATACATACAGGCAAAAACACTCAGACACATAAAATAAACATAAATATAATGTTTAAAAATTAGCCACCACCACAGATACCTGCAAAGTCAACCCTTTCTTATTACTCTCTGTCCCTGATGTGTTCTGTGGTAACTGGTGATTTTCTCTTTGTAGCCCAGATGCTCGCTAGGTCTCTCCCTCTACGAGCAAGCATCGTCACCCCTGTGCAAGCGGAAAATGGAGGGACTGTCTTTGCTTCTCACAGTTCCCCAGTGGGGGGAGGAGAGCCATCGGGTTTTTCAAGGATGATCAATTCATTTTTTAATGTCTTGGGAAAGGGGCACATTCTTTAGTCATAAGAAGAGTGGGCAAGCAGGTCATACATCACACATACATTGAACCCCCACCCACCAAAAAAGCCTCTGCATTCAATTTTCCCTCTTGGAGACAGGGTCTTATATGTTTGGTTGTGAGCCTAGCCTTTAATGGCCAAGGCACCTCTCCAGCCTAGAGACAGGGTCTTACGTATGCAGAGAAGCCTCTTTGCTGTGGAAATAACCCTTCTGTGCATTGTGAAGATTTATTGCTCTCGTTGTTAATAAAAAGTTGATTGGCTGATAGTGAGGCAGGATATTCAGGGCAGACAGAAGGCTGGGAAGGAGGAGGAGGGTGGAGTTGGAAAGTTGGAGGAAACAACAGGGGACAGAGTCAGCAGGACCGGAATTAAGTATTTGAGGTAAACAAACCCCAGGGGCAACACATAGACTAATAGAAATGGGTTAAATTAAGTTATCAGAGCTAGTTAAAACCAAGCCTAAGCCATTGGTGGAGCATTTATAATTAATATTAAGTTTCTATGTGGTTATTTGGGGAGCAGCTGCTGGGGCAGAGATCATCAGTGGTCTAGAAGGAGAACTCCACCTACACCTCTTGACTCTATATAGCAAAACTGGCATATCCTCCTGCCTCCGCCTCCTAAGTATGGGGGCCATAGGCATGAACCACCACACCAAGTTTATGCAAAGAGATAAAAACAGAACAAAAAAGCAAGATTTCATGCTCCAGAGGCAAGTGCTCTTACCAACTGATTTACAGTCCCAACCCAGCAAGGAGCTTCTGACACTTTGTGTTTGGTGCCCAAGTGTGGGCTACCCTTCAGTTTAGGTTTAAGACAACTAGAAAAGCATGAGCCAACAAACTGAATTTCTGGTAGGCATACTCCTAATTTGAGGTCAAGCATAGCTAACCAATAGTGCTTAAAGCCCTCGTAAATTCTCTTTGTAAAGATACTTTCCTCTACTGCCTTATGCTTTGCACCTGTTCTGCAGCATGCTGGGATCTGATGCTAGTGGTTAGGTCCAGAGACAGAGAAGACTGAAACAGTACAGCTACAGAAGGTCATTCTTTATAATAAATGCACCTTCTCCAAGTAAAGCTGAATAAGGCAAGAGATGACAGATGAGTCAGTGTAGCTGACTGCTTCCTTTAGCACGAGAGGGTCAATGTGGCTAAGAGGTCAGATGTGCCCCATTTAAATTGTCTTCACCTTTTCCCAATCAGTGCCTTGACTTTCATGTAAGAGTTCTCACGGGGATGTTAACCTACGCTGAAACCGAAGCAGCCAAGATTAAACAGCACAGTTTATTTCAAGTACATCAATGTCACAATCATAAGAAACATTAAAAGACCTCAGAACCTTTCAATCGTAAGGTTAAAAATCATAGAACCTGGTAATCCAACAGGTTAAGGTTAGATATTCCCAGGCAAATAGCTCAGAGTGCAGAGATACTTGCTATGCAAGTCCTACCACCTGTAATCCCAGAACCCACATTAGAAGGACACATCCACTCCAGAGACTTTCCTTATGAACTCCACACATAGCCCTGTATACCCAAACACACACACACACACACACACACACACACACACACACACACACACACACTAGCAAGTGTCCAGGAACAAGTAATAGCAATCTACCGCTGGCAGAGAGGCACAAAGAGAAAGCCAGCAACTGAAAAGGAAACAGACATCAAGCAAAACTCCCACCCACCAATATAATAATAATATTAATAAACAGAAGAATTTGAAACCTGAACGTATGAGAGTAACCATGGCAACCACAGTCCCATCTGATTTTCTCATTTTTTTTCCTCTACAGAAAAGGCATACTCAAGCTGGGAGTGCTGATCAGTGGTAAAGCACTTGATGTTAGATCCTGGAACCACAGAGAAGGTAGGAAGGCAGGGAGGCAGGAAGGCAGGGAGGGAGGGAGGGAGGGAGGGAGGGAGGGAGGGAGGGAGAGAAGAAGGGAGAGAGGAGGGAGGAAGGAAAAAGCTAACTGACTGGAGGTGCCTACACACACACACACACACACAGAGAGAGAGAGAGAGAGAGAGAGAGAGAGAAAGAGAGAGAGAGAGAGACGAACTAAAACAATGAATAAAGAACTATATCTTCAGCACAGTAGCACACACCTTTAATCCCAGCACCCGGGAGGCAGAGGCAGGCAGATCTCTGTGAATTCAAGGTCAGCCTGATCTACATATTGAGTTCTCTAGGACAGCCAGAGCTACATGGTGAGACCCAGTCTCAAAAATAAAACAAAAAAGAAAAAATCGCACTTCTTTTTACAGTGCCTTTAGTTGGCATAGAGAAGCGACTTCACTTGCCCTGGCATTACCGCGCATGTGTGTCATTGTACTCTGCTCACATCACCTCACTGACCGCCACCATCCCGTCCAACTCCTTATTCCACAGCCACTCTGGTCTTCGTGCTCTCTGGGTATATCCTTAATAAAGATTCAGCCTAAAGGAGAAAACGTGGTATGTTGTCTTTCTTCTCTCCATTATCCTCTCTTTTGTTTTTAAGTTATTGTTATTTGCTTGCTTGCTTGCTTGCTTTTTGAGACAGGGTCTCACTACAGAGCCCTGGCTGTCCTGGAATTCACATTGTAGAACAGTCTGGCTTCAAAGTCAAGAATCTGCCTGCCTCTGCCTCCCTAGTGCTGGGATAAACGACGAGACCACCATGGCAGGCACAATGTCATCTTGAAACCAGAGTCGCTGGTAGAGAGCATTCTGCTCCACAATCCACTCACACCACATCTCTGTCTGTGAGACACTGCCATCATGACACCACACTCACATAAGTCACAGAGTCCTAACCCTAGATACTCAAAGCCTAGGCCCACAGGAATTACCCTGGCATTTGAGCCCATGCCGTATCCTATCCCCAATGAAACAGTAATTCTGTGCCCCCAAGGTAGGGGACCTGCCGTGCACCCACTGGCCAAGTAGAAAGGCCTGCACCTTGCTCCCCTGAAGGCTGTAATGCCACCATCACAAACTCCTACAGTCTAAACTATGGTACCTTGGAGTTGCTGATATGGATTCCAGCTAGAGAAAGTAGAGACTACATCATCACACCAGTCTAGATTCAAAGCTAACTTAGGCCACTAGGAGGATTGATATCCCAGAATCCATCCACAGGCTAACAGTTTTCCTACAAAAGTTGATACAGAGACCAGAAAAGCCAGCTGTTCCACTAAACATGCAGTATCAGTGTAGGGACACAGAATGAGACATGAAGTTAACATGTCACCAAAGGAACACCAAAGTCCCCAATAACTAGCCCCAGCAAAAAAGGAAATTTATCAATTACCTCAAAAGGAATTCAAAATAATTACCTTCAGGAAATTCAGCAAAGAGCAGAAAATGCAGACAGATAACATAATCAGGAGAATGATTTATTTCATCGGAGTGAGTTAGATATCATGAAAATGAACTAAGGAGAAATACTGAAACTGTAGAGTTCCATGAATTAAATGACCACAAACACACAGAGAGATCCAAGAATTTCAGCCATAGTCAGGGTCTAGCAGAATAAAGAATTTTGAGTGTGGAGAAAGGCCCTTTGACATAATCCAGAGGGAATCTTTTTTTTTTTTCAGATTTATTTATTATGTATACAGTGTTGTCTGCATGTATGCCTGCATGACTAAAAAGGGCCCTAGATTCCACTATAGTTAGTGTGAGCCACCATGTGGTTGCTGAAAATTGAACTCAGGACCTCAGGAAGAGCAGCCAGTGCTCAGTAAGAAACTGGAGGAAGACTCAGCTTGGGCTACAGTAATGAGTCCAGGCCTGGCTGGGCTAGACAGTAAGGCCTACCTCAAGAAAAAGAGGTGGGAGGAGGCCTGAGGAGATGGCTTAGTAGGCCAGAGTTCCATCCACAGAAGCCATCTCAAAAGGAAAAGTAATTAACATGGCAGCACACATTGTAATCCCAGCTCTGAGGAGACAGATCCCTGGGACTCAATGGCCAATGACTCTAGTATGATTGATGAGCTCCAGGCCAATAAGAGATCCTGACTCAACAAACTAAGTGGATA